TAACACTCCCCTTCCAAGCAAAGCACGCTCGACGGGAATCATTGTGCTTCATTTATTAGGAAGAAAATATGTATATTTGTCTTTTTGAATAGTTTCGAAAACGTGTATTCGTTTATGTAACATCATCTTTTTAAATTGGGCTTTGCACGTAGCCGAGGTTGTAGATTGTTCGTCGTGAACAGCAATGCTGTATATAAATTTCGTTCGTTGCACAGGATTTTGGAAAATGCAAAACCCATGTATGAAAATTATCTCGGTCAGACGAACACCGAGACGCGATTAACAATCACGTGAGTTGCACACGGCTGTTCGATTATTCACGTTTCAATGCGCACTTATGGGATGATTAGTATCAGCCTCGGTCCTGCGAATCCGGACAATGGATTTCACACGAAGTAATCGACTCGAACGTACTGCTTCGACGGATATTAGTTCGACTACCGAGATCGTCGAAGCGCACATTTCTTTTTGTACGGAGGAGAGCTATAGTCTAGAAGAGATCTAGTGAGGATGTGCGACTTCGTGTCGCGTTTGGCTGCTCCTCCCGAGTCGACGATTCCCTCGTCCATCGTTATCGTCATCTCTTGTGACTACCGAGGCTCGTAGGCCTCGTAGACGAGTTCAGGCACCAGAGCCAACGAGAACGTGGCACTGGCCTGTCTTGCGTACTGCCGCCTCGTGGTGATGGCTTCGTGTTACCTATTGTTCTCTTCCATTACCACTTGCTTGAACACACCGGCAGGCATCTGGCTCTTCACCTCGTGACTACCAAGCGCAGTCGTACCGTCCTTCGCGATGAAGAGTTGAAGACCAGTTGCTGCAAAACGCAAATTTTAATTTAATTTTATTTTTGAAAGTTTAACTACGCTAAAATATCAATTTACGACTATCCTTACTTTCTAGCGTAGAAAATTAAGAAAAAAAAATTAAACCGAAGGCGCAAAAAACTCCACTCTATTTTCTGGAACTCCCATTTTTTAATTAATATAATCAATTAGAAGGAAAACGTACTCTCGGAACTTTCAAGATCTGTCTGCTCTAAATTTGTTGCTTTAAGCAGCTCGTCAATAAGAGAATCAGGATTCGGCCTGGTAACTTCAACTCTACAGAGGACAGGATTACCGGCACCATCTTCTGCTTTTTTTCTACGCTCCAGCGCAGCCTTAGCACGGTCCAGGGATCCAGTTTCGCTGAGACCTGAGCCGCCGGAAGGATTTCTGCGAAGAGCAATGTACATTTTACCTTCATTTTTGTCGCATATTGCTACACATTTTAACTGTAGTAACACGTTGTAACATATTAAACTGAGCACTGGGCATAAAAAAGCAGGAATAAAGTATTAACGTTACTCTATTCGGCGAAATCAGACTATGAAAAATTAAACAATGCGGATATAAATATAACGTTGCGGACGAACCTAATACATGTTTTATAAGAATTAATTTTACCCCTCGATTCATTGACCATGTACATTGTGAAAAATTGATGACTAATCGAGGGAGAAGTCTAAATCTCCCATTACGGCATATTAACACGTTTCGCAATTACTGGCTATCACGATAGATAATAATTACAACTTATTGCATGCCTTGTTTAAAGAAATGATCAATTACGTTTTGCTCGCGAAAGCAAAATTTGACCAATCGTTCCTTTCCAGAATGCAACGGACGTTACATTCTGAACTTATTTATTCGTTCAATCTGAGTTGAAACAAATAAGTTCCGGGCAGCGAAATAATACATCCCTAACAAAGATACAAAGAGTCTATCTAATATTGCAATTCCATATTGCGCTGATTTCTCCGCAGAGTAGCGTCGCAGTTGTCTCTACAAGCAATAAATATGTGTCGGGTACGTAATTAAATAATCGTGTAATTTAAGATTCTTCTAAAATTAAGAGAAGTGTTGTTCCCAAACAATGGATTCTATGCCGATGTGCTCGTATCTGTTTGATTCTTGAGGTGAAAGTTCATCGAGTACGTGTAACGCACTCACTTAAAGTAGGGAAAACATTATGTTGAAACGTGAGTGTCCGATAAACGTACAAAGAAATAAATGCGTCTTCTACGAGTGAGGATACTAACAGTCAATTTAATGTACAAGGGAGACGGTTTCTCGTGCGGATAGTGGCTGAGATAATTAAATACGCGTGGAAGTTGAAGGAACGCTTAATTAAGCGAGTAAATAGATGAGAAAGAGAAAAATTGCAGAAATAAAAGTAACTACCATAAATATATATTGTGTTAATTAAAATAGACGAGATAAAGTTAATAAAATAATTTTTTTAACAAATGGAGATTGCTGTATAGCAAATTATCTGAGAATGAAGGAAAAATATGTAATGATTATTACATTAATAATATGTTACTAATAATTTAAATAATGTAATTTAAATTACTTAAAGAAATAAATATTATAAATATTGAAAGAAACGTCTAGGTCAATAAAGCAATAAAGTAATTTGATACAATTTTTTAATTATAAAGATTGAAATATTTTCAAAAATTAAGTGGAAATTCCAAAAACAAAAAATTAATTTAAATTTTATTGAAAGATAATAATGCCATTTGCACTTCTATCTGTAATCTGACTTGCCTGTAAGTCGAAAATTATTTTATTAATAAAGAGAATTTTTAGTAGAATAAGTGAGAAAGAGAGAGAGAAGATCTGTCATCAAGATTTAATATTTGTTTAGCAATAAAACACTTCACATGAACATGAAGCATATAGTAATGTATATAAGTAAACTAATGATAGATATATAGAAATTAATGACAACTAAGCTATCATTTCTGATAATTTAACATGCAAAATGAATGTGGTGCATAAAAATATCATTGAGTGAATTTTTGTGGGAGAATTGTGTCTTTTACGAGAAACATGCGTTTTAGGTAAAAGCTGTGCAGATGTGAATTCTTGCGGATTAATTGCGCGACGAGCGAGAAAGCAAAAAGTTCATAAGGTGCTGCAGAACGTTAGAACGAATCGTCATTCCTGCCGGATCATTGGTTTGGATGCACCAATTTCCGGAAAATGTAGGTAAATTTGAACGACAGACATCAACGCCAAGGCGCTTAGGCAATCAGTGCGCGCCTAGGCTGTCGGTTCTTATCGTCAGACGACGATCAACGCCTGACCTCAGTGAAATGTAAATCGTCTCGTTTTAAGCACGATGAAATTAGATTTCGTTCGTAGCTCATTCATTCGTAGCGAGTAGGAGCAAACTTGGAGAGCACTTAAGCCTCATTAAGGTCCGCTCGTTCTCGGAAATTTCTGACAGACCAGTTCAAGACTTTATTACATGTACTTTCATTCTGCGATTAAAGTAAATAATAGATTTCTATTTCCTTTATATTGGTGGAATGTTTTACCCGGTTATCATCAGAGAGATGAAACACGTTCTGTACATTGAACAATTTATATGCGTGATCCAAAGATTGGACTTACATCAGTATAAAACAATTGCTATAAATGATTAATTTGAAATTCAAGCTCATTTGTTTGTAAATAATATTTAATCTGTTTCCAGTTTTGTTATAATAAATAATCATCGATTAATGATTCGGTCTATAGCTCTGAATTATCGTGCGAGAATTAATATTAATAGTGAATTGCATAAACTGTAATTGGAAGTTACATAGAGGAGACATCAGCAAGAAATTACGTTTGCATGCATCAAGCTAAACATTGCCTGCTCAGGATTAAATAATGCTTGTATGCTAGCACACGTGTTAAAAGCATTCTTCATTTAAAGACTAGAAGCCATTGTGTTTTTGCAATAGTGGAAAGTAAAGACGTATGCATGAAGGAAAGGTATACGTAAGATGAAAGCATGGACTGACGGTGGGGTAATGCTGTTTCGATGCTGCGAGCTCGGTGGCGCGACTTCCGGTACCCCTAACGAGGACTCCTCAGAGTCCGCTGGACTGGTGGCGACCGTAGCCAGCTTGCCCCCCGCCCCGTCCAGCAACTTCCGGTGGCCTCCGCCAATACCCCTGCAAGGATTCACAAAGCCATCCAGACTGGAAGCATAGCTACCGCATAACACTACATACCCCCGATTCCATTTATTTGCATACAGACACAATCAGCTTTTAACTAAAATAATTATTTAATTATTTGGATTAATAACAGTGATATTGCTGCTAATCCTGATTACGAGTTACATTGCACTTGTTTAATGCTTAACATATTGCATGTTGTAATGCGTTATATTTATTCGTTGAAATGCAGTTTTAACTCTTTGTTATTTATCTTTGTAACAAATTGAGAAAATTATAAGACTTTTAGAGAGATCAAAACTCAAACATTTATTTTATTACCTCCCTAAATAATAATAATTTTTCTTTGCAATCTTTCTCTGTAATTTTAATATTTTTTAATATTTTAGATATTTATGTCGCAGTTAGATTTAATTATGATAGTAGTTGAGGAATTACTTAGATAAGTATGAGTCTAAATATAATCTTGAAACATAATAATAAACATGCTAATAATATTAAAGACCATTATGATAAACTGTCGTAAGAAACTATATGAGAAAAAAAATGTGAGAACAGATTGTATATCTCATGACAATAACACTTTTTAACGAGACACACATCCCCTTACTGCGATATTAGATAACTTTCCTTACTTGGAACTGCCACGTAATACGTAGCATATTTATTTAATTAGCTCACATCAAAGGCATAGAGATGATAAATGGCCGAGCATAATTATCATGGTTAATGAAACATGAGTTATTGCACTCGTATGATAAAAGTAAGATATGAAAGATAATTAAGCAATAGCGCATTGTTAAATTTAAATTCGTTCAAAAATTCATCAATTTTCATTGAATGAAATGCATGCCGGATACAATTTGATACATATTTCTTACATTCTTATATTACAAGTATGATCAATCATGTACGATGTATCGTTAATTTTTTGCGGTAGATTTAAGCGAATCGATCACGCATAGATGAGCTTCAAACACGCGGACTTCTCTATTAGGTTATCGTTATTTATTTCGTCTCAAGCATCGCTCTATTCTCTTAATAAAATTAAATAAAAAAGTACATCAAAATAAAAGATAATTTCAAAAAATATATAAATGCATAAAATAAATTAAGTGGTTGATATAAAGATTGGTGAATGTAACTTTACTGGAATATGCTTTTAACTTTCTCAGTGTAGAAAACACGATGTGTTGTACAAGGAAAAGAAACGCTGGGGGGATTGCTCCTTCGAACATCTGCTGGTTTGTCAGGACGGAATCACCAATTACTCTGGCATGCCGGACATATAGGCGTTATTAACGATTTGTAAGTGAGATGACCTCACCTTCGAATAAAGACCATTTAACGCAAGGGTAAAATGCAACGCACCGTCTGCTAATCAAACGCATTATCGTGAATATTCACAGAAATATCTCTTTTCTAGATATTTTCTCCCAACATTCCCGCGTTCTTGCGAAGAGGGTATTAATCATTCAAGATAAAGCCAGATATCAGGATATATGTAGAATTGTTTCGAAGTTTTTAAAACGGGAAACACGACCAGACAAAGAAACCAGGGGAACCAGAGGGAAGAGAGGGGAAAAAGAACACTCTCGAGATCTCCGAAAAGAATCGCGAAACTGAAAACTCGCTGATGAATGAAACCTACCTGAGGGTTTGAGCTGTCGTCGTGGGACGTAGCGGGGCTCTTTGATTGTCAGGCCTATGGAGAGGATCGGGAGAGGACACGGCTCTAGCCTGATCGATTAGCCGTAACACCGGGCTTGTCTTGCCCTTCTCGATGCAGTCGCAGGTCTTCGACATACCGCGCCAACCCGCGGCACTAATTCTCGGCTTCGCGATCGGGAAGACATTACCCTGCTGCCCGTTACTCTCCTTGGCGATCGAGCTCATCATCGCGTTACGTTCGTTATGCGCCTCAAAGCTGTTCCTCTCATAATTCTTGCGCGAGTGTCGCGGCACGTCTGGCACCCTGAAAATACCGGGCGCCACCCGGGTGTCTGCGTTTGCGTCATCGCGACAATTGCGCGAGTCGCTGTCATTCAAGAAACCGTTCCCGATTCCGCAAAGTGGCTGCTGCTGCTTTCCGACTGAATAAATGTTCTTCGCGACGGACGCGATAACATCGACTCTCATCGGGTTTTCCACATCTGTCGGACCACTACGCGAGGAGAGAGGACTCGATGCCGACCAGAATCGAGCTCTGGAGGCCAGGGACGACGGGAATGACAGAGGTTCGATACTGTCGTCGGGTCGACAGGCGATCGGTTGTGTGGACAGGTTTTGGGAGGAGTTGGGAATTCGTGGTGCCCATACCGGCCAGGAGGGTGACCTATAAAGATCACAACACAAATGTACAAGCATGCAAAAATCATAAACTATAAACTCATGTACATAAAGATAAAGAAAGAAAGACATACGTAAAGTAAAAAAAAGATAGAGAGTCCAGAGTCTCGTAGTTATGGTCGAGAAATTGAGAATGAAGGGATCGCTTGAGGCTGGAGCAAAAACAGAAGATTTTCTCGCGTTATTGATTCGCTCTCTTGTTAGTCATCTGTCATTCTGTTTACATCGCCATATATTATTCTATTCATGTTATTAATTTAAAAATAAAGCAGTTGGTTATTCGAAAGTTTGCATGAGCTTGCTCAACAAGCAAGTTTTATCGATTACATAGCGTATAGAAGGTTGATATCGTTAAAGGTCGAAGATAGAATATCTTTCTCGAGTCAAGATACAGGCAAGAGTAATATTTAAAGCAAGATATCGTATAGATAACTATAGCTCAGGTGTCTTGTTAATAAAGCTAAATGTCTTGCATTTTAAAAAAGAAATCGTTAGTTTGTTGTAGTAAAGTAAAATTATGGATGAAATAAATATATTTTTTTATCGTTCACGCATTATTAATCGTTTCCAGTCGTTGCAATGAACAGTCATATTCTGCTGTGAAATCTTTTAGACCTTCACGGTTTTCAACTCATACTCGTTGCTGTTATTTATTATAGAACAATAAAATCAGGCAATTTACAAGTAGATTAGAAGGAAAGTGCGCTAAATTGAGTATCGATAATCTTCCCAGAATATCGCATAATTAACAATTAAAAAAAATTCAGCTTTCTATTTCGATTAATTAATTGGATGTAGAAAATAATGCAATATGAAAGATTTAAGTCGGCTTTGTCAATAAGAGTTAAAAGAACTCTGGACGTTGATTACGCTCGATTTAAAAATATTTTTCGAGATATAAACCTTCCTGGGTATCGCTTTCATACATCAGATAATACCAAGATTTCGAAAGTTCAAAGTAAACGCGTAAGGATCGTCGAGATGCGTGATAAGTCTTACCTAATGTGACCGCTATCGCCGCTACTACTCTGTCTGCTGTGCTGGCTGTGCGAATTTAAAGAACCGTAGCCGGAGCCTTTGCTAAGTTGACTGGTATTACTGCTGTTGCGCGAGTGCCCGGATTCCGTGTGCGCCTCTACTAGAGCCTCCACCGGGACCGCCGACGGTACGATCTCACTGAGAGTCATCGGGTCGTATGTTTCCGTTCCGCTAAGAAGTTCTAATCACATACAATTCATTAAAATAACTTTTCTTTGCCTCCTCTCAGAATTTATATTCCTGATAATTTCAGGACTGTATCATCCTCGGCGCTTCGCACATAGCTATGTACATGCGCTTCTTTTTTTATTAACCAAAGCGCAAAATCTTGTTTATGAATCACGAATACTTTACATATCAGACATGACATAGAAAATGAGCGAATTACCGGAAGTGAAGAGTGCGGGCCTCTTCTTGGGAAGACTGCCGAAACCACTGCTGGCGCTTGCTATACTTCCCGCTAGCGAACCGGTAGACACATAATCCTCCCGATTCGTGCATCTCTCAGATGCCGTTACCTCATCACCAGTAACGCCAGGTACACCTTGCACCCCGGGCACCGCCAGCTGCGTCTGCTTCAACGACGGGGAAGGGCTGGGGCAAATAATCGATTAATCCGTTAATCAAAAGGATTTCCACGAGACGTTCTTCCGATCAAACGCAGACACAATTGTCGTACGGCGGAAATGTAATTAAAGCGGTTCAATATAAGACTTTCATCACGTAGTAAAAAAAAAAAATCAGAAATAGAAGATACGCCAGAAAGAATTTCTTTTCATTAAGGCGCTACTTAAATGTTGGATTAGCAATTTAATTTGTAATCGTTGAATGTAATAGTTTATTTAAAAAAATATACGTATTCTGTAACGTAACAAATCCAAAAATCGAAAATATCTATATTATCACGTAAGCGTTCAAAAATTTAAGATAAACCGCTGCTTCATATAGACAGGTAAGAATGTCTTACACTTTAAATAGAATATCTCCGGAGAGCATGTTCATTTTTATGGCCACACGCAGCATGGAATTATCCTGACGGTGTCGCGCATCATAGCCCTCCAAGAGGCACCTTCTTCGGCAGAGGCCAGCTCCCGCGAATTCGGCCAGATTTAGATCGGTGAAGCCCAGCTTCTGGAAGGACCTGCCTCCTTTCAACTCCTGTCGCGCAAAAAAAAAGTTTATGAGAACACGTGGCATTTAAAATTAACTATTTATCGAATTACGTTTGCGTTCAATAATGTATTTTCAAGAACGTGATCAAAATTAGTAATAAAAAAGTTTCATTGTTTAAATATTCCGGAACCGGACACACTTCCAATGAGCGAGATTCACATTCATTTGCATTTATTCGAATTAATTAAGTAAAAAAATTATTCAAACATTCTTTGAATAAAGTTAGCAAATATTTACGACAAAGAATATAACTTTTATATATCTTTCATAATTACATTATTTTACTGATTTTAGATAAAATAAAAAATAAATGAGTAAGATAAAGACATTTATTTTATAGTCGATTCTTGCTTTGCGATATTTCGCAAGCATATGGGAGTGTGAATGGAAGAGTAAAACGTTCGTGAAAACAAGAGTTGAGAAAAATCTCTCCGTCTTCCTTTCGTTCCGTTCCCAGCCCCGACGATGGCGACGATGTTCGCGCCTCAAACGGAAAGTAAAGTTTGCTCTCACCTTTCTCACAGATATCCTTAAAATGCACGGATCGAGCACGCCCGTGGACGCGTTGGCGCTCATCTTGCATAAAAATTCGAACTTTGCGTTCCATCTCACCGTGTGTTCCTGCACCTCCTCCCTGCAAAAATGGAAAGAAGTGGTTTTGAAATGGGAGATTAATGTCTTCCCGCGTGTTGCTTTCATTGTTACCGAAAAGTGTACTAATTGCTCCCTCTTTCCTTCTCTTTCTCTTCCTTTCTCTACAAGTATACTTTCATTTATGTAGAGTAACACACTCTACTAATTTACATGGATATTCAAATTTCTCCAAGTTTTACGCGATCTCAAAAATTGCACGTGAATTATAACAATAATTTTCAATAATCGTTTTCCAATACAATTGTCACAATCCTGGCCACACATTCATCTACCTCTTAATTTTCGGCATCTCGATAGATCTTGAAATGAATTTTTATTATCTTGAAATCGTTGTTTTAAATTGACTTATGGAAATATATAATTCCTTTTTATTCTCCCTGACAAAATGAGTTCAATTCGGTGAACTATTTTAATTATCGTCATTAAAAATTCCTGGTAAGTAATTTAATATTTTACCAATAAAGCGTTACTGGAGAAAAATAAATTTCGCATTCGCGGAAGAAGAACCACGGGTGCGAGAAAATACGTTCTATATGACAGCTCGTATATACTCAAGGAAAATGCATTCCGGGACATTCCGTGTACTTAAGAAAAATGCAAAGTAACGTTCGAAAACTCCAAGAGTTGAAGATTCTTCTAAAACGTCCGTGCTTCGCCGGGGATTGATGCGATAGATGAAAAAAAAAGTTATCGTTAAAAATATGTAAATCATCTGACGACTCTCGCGTTATCATTTTTAATAACGCTTTGCATTTCCCAAGAGTTCAAGCAATTTTCTGTGTGGTAAAGTATTTTGCGCCTGGTGTGCATGCACCCAGTAGTACGAAGAGCGAGAGAGAGAGAGAGAGAGAGAGAGATAGAGATAGAAAACTTCCCGGGAAGACACGTCGTTCTCGTCTAATATGCAAATGAAGGCAAATTGGCGCGTATGCATAATGCCGCGCGGAATCAGCGTTTCAGCTCCGCTGGGAACGCGAGGACACCAATGAATCATGACCCGAAATGACGCGGGCGTCTCCCGCGTCGAGGCCCTTGACCGACATGCGTATCTTGTTAATGAAACGCGTGCTGATTAGTCAACGAGTCTCACTTCCGGTAAGAGCACTTCCGGCACGCTCCCGCACGCATCGGCGAACATATCGGGATTCGCCGAAGGGACGGCGCGCGACGCGGCGCACGGATCGATTTAGCGATTTCAACGACCAACTGCATGTCCCATCAGACTGTCCGACGCTGTCCGAATTTCGTCAACTAATTTCATCCGCGGCTATAACGAGACTCGCAGTACGTCATGCGGCAAGCAACGTTATTATTATCGATTTTACTTGACTTTGCAAATAAAATCATATAATTGATGTTAGTACATATTGATGTAACTGACGTGACGCTCGCGGCTAATTACGCACTCGATGACGTAAAAACTCGGATTGCACACCGCTGATACGCGAATAATTTCCATTTATTGTGATATACTCAATGTTTATATATTATTACCGATTCAAACCTGAGCGGCAAATAGCATTCTATTATTTATGACCTTGCGCAATATGTTTTTTTTATGAGCCTGTCACCCCGAACATACAGACAATTGCGATAAACCGTTATCGAAAAATAAAATCGTGCCATAATAACCACAATTCGGTTTTAACATTTTTTTTTATTAAGCGGTATCCATAATTAATGTAGAGAATCTAAGCCAATTTTTAGTACTTTTTGAATTAAAAAAAAACCTAAATTTGAGAAAGTTATAGCTTGCTAAAGTTTCTTTGATGACGGCAACTTCAAAAGATTTCGCACATAAGGTATGACGTCACAGCACATTTTCGTGTACTATATTTTCTTCAATTTTGAAGACATTGCAAAAATCAAAAAGTTTACAAAGAAAGTATGCCATGATCTATCAGACCGCTTAATAAAAAAAAATGTATGTAAAAACCGAATTATAGACACATAAAAAAAATTAATGGCGTTATTACGGTCCAAGTCGGATCCGGGTTTCCTCAAATTTTTCAACAACCAATTTTTCTGCGGTTGAGTCGTCAGCCCCACGCACAACCTCCAACCTGAGGGATAGACGCATAACTATTATACTTTTACAATTACGGTATATAGTTATATCATCATGTACAGCAGAGTTCTAAAAACTTTTGCGAAACTTAATCGTGAAACTAATTAAAACACAGTTACAAATTTTAACTTTTTTGCTAAAAAAGAAGAGTAATTTCTTATATAGGTTTTGGTGCGATAAAGATGAAAAAAAAAACGCATTTTGATCTCATTTTTTCTAAAAAACCTGACATAGAACATTTTTGCTTGCGAATTCGGATTCACATAGCATCAAAGACTATATGAGAAATTGCTCTTCTTTTCCAGACCGCGAATTTTTGTACCTCTGAGTAATGAGTTTCATTCAATGCGACACGTACCCTTGCTATATATTTTATTCTCCCTCTTACTTTTTCTTCTTCGATATACCTTCTCTCTCTACTCGTCTCATGGATATCTTAAATAAGCGAGCGTAAAAAGCGATCAAAGCGGAGGTCGATATTGACTCATGGTGTACCGAATAATGCGTGATGACATGGGTTTAAAATAAACTCTGTGCACAACGCCCACCACTCTACAGCGCCCACGTAACCCCGAAGAACCGACTTATCGTAAATATCATCGCCAACCCCTCTTATCGTGCCAGGGAGCCGGAATATCGATAGCTGTAGGCGATAATGAGAAGGAAAGAAAGGAAACGGAATATACCGCTCGGAGCGACGAAAATGTACAAATAATCGCGGGATGGGTAAGGGCCAAAGCACATAACATGGCGTAGCGATATACGACGGTCGTAGTCCTCGACCTGACAAATCAAGATACGCCAAAGCTTGTGCGTTACTTACGTCCACGACTACGACTGTCATATGTGCTTTGGCCCTAATGCAGCACGCACAACACCATTCCGAAAAGAAAACACTTTCTTTTTTTCTCTCTTTTTCTAAAACAGTTGCTATAACAGAAAGCTAAAAATATCTTCGTGACTGACGTCAAACGATCGCTGTACAAGCGCGCGCGCGAGCGCGCGTGTGACAGTACACTTTATTTTACAATATCGCGATTTTCAGATCGGAAAAGATTTTAAACAGAGGTAGTACCGATTGCACATGACACGTTTTTGCGTTTTTTTCAGTTTTTTCCTCTTGAAATTTCAATAGAAATTTATTATCAAAAATGTGCTTTATGGTAAATTGGAAAAAATGGAATGTACCTTACGGTAAGAGTAAAATGTTCAAGAAAAAACAGACAAATGTTTTAAGGATAAAACAGTAATGGGTATATAGCGCTTCGCACGATAAATGATAACGGGGATAGGATGCCTACGGGGCCCACAACATTAAGCGGTTTAGCACGTTGGCCCTTGTAACACTACCTAAAGAGTATGCGACATTAATTTTAAATGTCGGCCGATGGTTTTTATCGGAACGAAAGGTCCATTAAAACGCAGATCTACTTCGTGATAAATGAATTTCGTGAAACGTGAAATATGAGCGGGGAAGATACTACCCGTCTACGTTCTGATAGAAATCGCGACTTAAAAAATAGCGGGGGAGGTGACAGAAAAGGGCAAATCTTCATTTTTCACAACGTTAGTCAAGCAACTCGACCTGAAAGCACTCGTGTAATGAGACAAAAAAAATAATAAGTAACGCGACACATCAAATGGAATGACGTATTTTGATAAGCTGATTTTGATAAGTTAAGAAGTTTATACACGTTCGTATAAGAAACGCATTTGCTTGCACGCGATCGTGGTCGGTCTTGAACGTGGTCGGTTGCAATGCGAATGCTTATGCCTTATACAACATAAATTATATTAAATATGTGTAAAAGTATATATTACAAAGTGTTTAATTTTATGTATAATTTTACAAGAAAGAAGAAATATTTTATTTTCTCAAATTATCGTTCTTCCAATGGCAAAGTTATTTCTTTTAGTTATACAATGTTCGCTTAGACACCTGGAAAATGTAACTTATATCTAATCAAGTAGATAAACCTTATCTATATATAAAATCTATATATATAAGGCTAATTATTATACATGGTATGAAGCTGCGTATCTTGACAAAAAAGGTAAATTTTTGAAAAAATGTATTAAATGTAATAAAATATATAAATGCAATTCTTTATAAATAACGAAAAATTAAAATCGAAAAGAAAATAAGAAAAAAATTCAATAATTGTTTTTTACGTGTGCTTTTACGTCGATGTCCCTGCAAATTTCAAAATATTTAGAATTTGTGAAATTTTTACTGGCAAATTTTTCTAATAGCATTGAATTTTATTCCTTTGACGTAACAAATTAATATAAATACATCACGTCTCTCTATGTTTGAAAAGAGAATAAATAAAAATAAATGTAAAATAGTTTATATATTTTAGATGCACAAAATATAAATGTTATTAATATTCATATTTCTTTCGACTCAACCTCGTCAAAACATGCGATGGCTTTTGTAAACCCTGTACACAAAATACTCCAGATTAACTTATACATTTTTTAGAGCGTTATTCTCTTTTTTCCCTTTAATTGTTTAATCATTCTCTCTCAATTTTCTCTGTTTAATTTCTGACAATCAAACTAATACAAATAAAATCTCTGTTAAAATATTGATGCATGGCAACTCTCTGAAATGTGAAATAACCGTCCCTATTCATGTTTCTGAAGGCACATAAAATGAAGAATTACTATAGCTCGATATTGTGAAATAATTATTGTTCATCTTGCCGTTTAGCATTTCTCATTAAAAGGAAAGCGGGGAACAATACGTCGTGTGGAAAGTTATAACGATCCTGAAAAAAATAAACGATGCCACGCGCAGGAAAACGACTAGATAGCCGAGCCTGAATTAGGACAGTGGGTTAAGAGAACCGGTCGCGCGGTATCAAACGTCATTACGGGATAATAGCGATATCGTTGCTCCATTGATA